TGCTTCTTATTTTTGTTTTTTCCCCTAAAGATTTATTTTTATTGGAAAGTCAGATTTACAGGGCCTGATGCGGTAGCCTAGCGGCTAAAATCCTTGCTTTGTACGCGCCAGGATCCCATATGGGTGCCGGTTCTAATCCCGGCAGTCCTGCTTCCCATCCAGCTCCCTGCACTTCCCATCCAGCTCCCTGCACTTCCCATCCAGCTCTCTGCTTGTGGCCTGGGAAAGCAGTCGAGGATGGCTTCAAATTGGTGCAGCTCTGGCCTTTGTGACTGCTTAGGGAGTGAATCATTGGATGGAAGATTTTTCTCTCTGTTTCTCCTTGTCTCTGTATATCTAATTTTCTAATAAAAATGTTATCTTTATTCTTTTTATGCCTTTTTAATTTTATATCATTTTATGACACAGTTTTATAGGCTCTGGGATTCCCCCAGTCCCTGCCCAAACTAAAAATATATCTTAAAAAAAAAAAAAGAAATTCAGATTTACAGAGAGGGAGGGACAAAGATCTTTCCTCCACCGGTTCACTTTCCAAGTGGCCACAATGGCCAGAGGTGAGCTGATCCGAAGCCAGGAGCCAGGAGCCTCTTCAGGTTTCCTACATGGGTGCAGGGTCCCAAGGTTTTTGGCCATCCACCACTGTGTTTCCAGACCACTAGCAGGGAGCTGGATGGGAAGTGGAGCCGCCAAGATATGAACCAGCGCCCGAATGGGATCTCTGCACTTGCCCAGTAACAATTTATCCACTCAGCCATTGAGCCAGGACCTGACCTCCTCCTTTCAAAAGGAAAATCAGTTGCATTGGATTCATTGTTCTCGGCTTATTTTTTGTTTAGTTTTGTTATAGGATGTTGATTTAGGGCGATGATTTATTTAGGAAGAAGGAGAGCTCCTGCCTTAGTGACAGGAGGGGCATCCAAGGTAGGAAAAGCAGAGGAAATGGTGGGGATGGGTTCTGTTATGCACCACCTCAGGGAGGGGGTTCACATGAATCACCCCAAGGGCAGAAAGAAAAAAAGTGGACAGCAATTTCTACTGCCTTGCCACGAAACAAAGGGTCAGACCAGTAGCTTCCTTGTCCCATCCTGAAGATAAACTGAAAACCAAGGTGGCATTTCCTTTGACAGGGACCAGAGTGGGCCAGTCTCCCTGCTCCTGGATTTATATGTTGATTTGTCCCTTTGTTCGCTCTTCCCTTCAGGAAGACTATGGAAATAGGGGAAAATCCCATTTTTAGAAACACAATTAACATCTTAAAGGTAACTTCACCAGAGACCTTAACCGTTGCCCTAATTCCTTACACAGTTTGATTGTGTGTTTTGTTTTGCCTTCTTATATATGTAAAGGTTATTTTTACTTTGAAAGGCAGATTTATAGAGGAGAGACAGAAAATATCTTCCATGTGCTGGTTCACTTTCCAAATGACCACAACGGATCTGAAGCCAGCAGCCAGGAGCCTGCCCTGGGTCGTCCACAAAGATGCACGGGATTAAGGCTCTGCACCATCTTCCTCTGCTTTCCCGGGCCAAAAATAGGGAGCTGGGCGAGAAGTGGAGTGGCTTAGGCAAGAACTGGCACCAACATGGGATGTTGGCTCTTGCAGGTAGAGGATTAGCCTGTTGAACCACTGCACTGGCCTCTGCCTATTTTGTTTTTATCTTGGCTCTTTTAATCTAGAATTCTACACAGGATTGACCACAAAGCAGACACCTAACACAGGATAGTCCCACTCTGCCAGCGGTTTTTTACCCTGAAGGAAGCTGCAAGAAGGAAAAACCCAGAGTGGACAGAAGAGAATACAGGGGCGGGGAGGCTGCAGACAGCAACCCAGGGGACGCAGCAGGGGCAGGAACTTCACCAATCACTTTGAGCACGGTGTCCCCCACACATCCTTGTCAATCTGCTCAAATGGAAACTGACAGGAAATTGGCAGAAGCTGGGAAATGGACAGAGGCCAATTGACACTCTTTTGTTAAGTCCGTCCACTGCCCAGCCTCCTCAGTGTTTGCAGCTCTATCAGTCTCAACGCCAGGCAGATTTTGATTCTTTCCTCATGCAAATAGGCATTTCCCAGAGGCAGTTATCTGTGGGCATCAAGCCAGAGGGCCCTTCCTTTATCTGCTGGTTCCTTTTACACTTTAAGTGTTTATTTTATTTGTTTGAAAGGCAGGGAGAAAGAGATCTCAGTCTACTGCTTCACTCCCCAGATGGCTGCGCAGCTGAGGCTGGGCTGTGACCAAGCTTGAAGCCTGGAACTCCAGCCAGGTGTCCCTTGTGGGTGGCAGGAATCCAAGCACCCACGCCCCTCCCCCCCCGAAGGCTACATGGGAAGCAGAGTAGCCAAAACTGAAACCAGGAGTTCCAATATGGGATCCCGATGTGTAAGCAGTCAGATTGGATAGTAGACAGTTAGGGTTTCTGATCCCTGGCGATGTTACCTTTTAAAATATAATGTGGGGGCCCGGCGTGGTGGCTTAGCAGCTAAAGTCCTTGTCTTGCATATGCTGGAATCCTATGTTGGCACCAATTCTAATCTCAGCAGCCCCGCTTCCCGTCCAGCTCCCTGCTTGTGTCCTGGGAAAGCAGTCAAGGATGGCCCAAATCCTTGGGACCCTACACCTGCATAGGAGACCCAAAAGAGGCTCCTGGTTCCTGGCTGTGGATCAGCACAGCTCTGGCCTTTGTGGCTACTTGGGGAGTGAACCAACAGATAGGTCTTTCTATGTATCTCCTTCTCTCTGTATATCTAGCTTTCCAATAATAAATAAATAAATAAATAAATAAATAAATAAATAAATCTTAAAATACAGGATGGATGAAAACAGCATCACAGGAGAAAGATGCCAGTTTTTCAGCTTTGTTTGTCTCCATGTAAAATTAAATACCTCCTACATGCTGGAAAGTGTATTAAACACTCAGGGTCCAAGATAAAGACACAGAACCTGTCTCAAAGTGTGTTAGCCTCTCAAATGTAAATGCATAGATCCTGCCTCCCATTTTCACATGACAGCCTTGGTCACACCCCATTATCGCATGCGTCTGTCTTGCCACAGGAACCTAAGCTCTAGGAGAACACTGTCCCATCACGTAGTAAGCATTCACAAAACACAGTTCCTCTTCTAACAGAGAGCGCAGTCTATGGGGAGAGAGAGACACACAACCATACAGAGACAGGGTCATTAGCTGTGACAAAGAAAAGTGCTGGCTTTTGGTGAAGTAACAGAAAACAAGGACATTTAGTGGTGACACTTGGGTGGCTAGGAGAATCGTCACAAGGTGCAGAGACTCAGAACGGAGGCTAAACCTCCAGGAATGTGAAAGAAACCACAGAACTAGTCCGACGAGGAAGCTGGCTCCAGTGCAGCGCCGCAGCAACACCTCTGCTGCGTCTGAAACTCAGTCTTCTAACCACACAGAAGCTACTTTCGCTGCCGACAAAGGCGTCTGTCTCTGCTGCTAGGCATTCCAGCGATACGGGAAGGCCCACCTGGAGCCTCTTTCCTCCGGTCGCTCAGAGCTGAAGCTCCATGTGGATGAGCTGATTGGTGGAGCCCAAGTCATGTACTACAGCACAACTGCAAAACAAGGCTGGGACTTTGAGCTCTAAGCAAAGGAAAACTACTTTAAAGGTGATGTGTCCACTGAACTGAAGCAATGTGACAGGAGCTAGGCTGAAGACACACATTCAGACAATATTCTGCTCTCATGGACATTGTTTTAGAAGAGACAAACAGCAGACATAATGATGGTTTAGTGGTGGAAGCTACAGTAACAAGCAAGGCTGTGAATGAGTCTTCCAGCAAGGTTTTTCTAAGATGTGGAAAAAACCCCAATGATGTGAAGGAGTAGCAGATGTAGTGGCTCTGGGATGTGTGCTAACTTCACATACTTGAAGCACTCTAGGGAGGTGAGGTTTATTTATTTTTATTGCTAAGTCAGATATACAGAGAGGAGACAGAGCTGAAGATCTTCTGTCCGACGGTTCACTCTCCAAGTGACCACAATGGCCAGAGCTGAGCCCATCCAAAGCCAGGAGATAGGAACTTGCTCCAGGTCTCCCATACGGGTACGGGGTCATCCCAAGGCTTTGGGCCATCCTCAACTGCTTTCTCAGGCCACAAGCAGGGAGCTGGATGGGAAGCAGAGCCACCTGGATTAAAGCCGGTGCCCATAAGGGATCCTGGCACATTCAAGGCAAGGACTTTAACTGCTAAGCCAGTGCACTGGGCCCAAAATATATGTCTTTTAAAAAATATGAGTGGTGGGCAAAGGGAAGAACAGAAGACGCGAGCAGGGAAGGCTCTGGAATGCTTGGAGAAGGTTGGGTGACGGGGTGCTTTCACAGAGATGCAGGCATGTGGCTAGGAGATCCATTGTGCCAAGGCTGCCTGTGTTGTTCCTTAAACACACACACACACATTAGTGTTTATTTCCTACAGCTTTCGTTGGGCTAGGTCAAAGCCAGAAGCCTGGACCAAATCCAGGCCATCCACACCGGTGGCAGGGATAAGTCCTTGGGCCATCAGCTGGTGCCTCCTAAGGGGCACAGTATCAGGCAGGTGAATTGGAAGCAGAGCCGGGAATCAACCCTGGGCAGGGACACAGGAGTCTTCAGCAGCCCCTGTGCACTGTGCCTCATGCCCAATCCTCCGGGCTGTTCTGTGAACCACTCAGGTCACCAAACTGAAGTGTCAGTGACGGAGGCTGAGTGTGAGACAAAAGCTGAGCTCTTTCCCCAGGGTGGGGGGTCTAGACCTCCTGAAAGGTTTCTAAGGGGGCAGAAAGTTCATAGTTCCTTGTACCCTCCCACTCCTCAGACTAGATAGTAAGCCACCCACAGGACTGAGCTGTTACTATCAAAAGCAAAGCTGGCCACGTGCACTGACAGTGTGGTGTGGAATTAGTCAGCAGAGATCCGAAGGCGGGGAACTGTCAGGTAGACATCTTGTCTTCCATCCTGTGTTGGCTCCCGCTGCTACAGCAAAGCACCGTACAAAGAGTCATTTATAAACAACAGCAGTTTATTTGTGAAGGTTCTTGAGACTCCTGTAAAGTGCAAGGTCAAGGCACTGACAGAGGAGGTGTCCCGGTGAAGGATCTCTGCTGGAGGGCAGCTGCATCTTCACGCAGTGTGAGGGGAGAACAAGTCCCCTCAGGTCTCTTTCACTGGCAGAGTCCTGTTGACCTAATCAGCTCCCAGGGTCCCCGCCTCTTCGAACTCACAGATGGAAGGTTTTGTACACTGAGAACAGATTGTCCGGGGCTAGGACTGCTCAGGGGACCAGAGAGTACGAGCATTCCTAAGCAAGTTCCGGGATCTTAACTGCAAGGTGCTAGGCATGTCACACAATCTGGGTCAGGTGCCACCCATCTGCAACATTTAGAGCACTGCAGGTGGGGAGTCACCTGGCTTGAAGCGTCCTGGATCCTTCAATCCCCCATCTCAGCTCAGAGTTCCCACTCAAAGCAGGACTCCACGCAGATAGCTCCACAGCCATCAGCCACAGCATCCTGCCGAGATCCAGAGGGACCACAAGGCTTAGTGCAAATGAACAGACTGGCACTGGCGGGAAGGACTTAAGAGGGATGACCAACGTCGATTTAAAAAGAAAAAAGCTGCATCCGGACTGGGACACCTTAGGAGAGAAGAGGCCAGGTTCGGTTTCCGTGCACGCCCCCATCGCTCTCTCCCCGAATGCGGTCTTCATGCAGACATCCAGGAAGCCTGTGGAGAAGACGGTATACAATTGGGTTAGGGAGATCGTGCAGCTTTCAGGGCTGAACTTGAACGACTCCGTCGGGCAGCTTCCCCTCCTCCATTCTCCAAGCTGGGTGTAGCCACCCAAGCGTCCTCGCAGGGAATGCCACGGCTCCACTTTCTCCGAGTTGCCTCCGGTCCCACCCCACCTGCACGTCCCCCCTGCGCCTCCGTGCCGCACGTACCCGCCCCTTAGATGAGAACTATCTTCAAAGACTTCCTTCCGGGCTCAGCGAAGCGCAGCGTGCTCGGATGACGAGAGGCAGCCAGCGGCCCGGGCGTGCACAGGCGACAACGAAACCGCCGCTTCCTTGCAGACAGGCTACGGCTCGCGGAGCCCGGGCTGCCCAGGAGCCGCTCTGCGCGACAGGCGTGGAGGAAAAGTCCGCGCGCGCCGGCCACCTCCGGGCGCGCCAGTCACCTCCGCGCGCGCCGGCCGCCTCCGGGCCCGCCCCGCACGCCCGCCCCGGCCAGGCCCCGCCCCGGCCCCGTGCGCGACGCCCTCTCCAGGCCCGGCTCCCGCGCCCTATTTGGTCACTCGGGAGGCAGGCGGCGGGAAGGGAGGCTCGCGCGGCGCTGCGGGACGCGGAGTGGGCTCCGGGAGCGCACAGGGGCTGCTGCCGCCACCTCGGTCGGCGGAGACCCACGAGGCCGCCGCGTCCTGCCCTCGGAACAATGGGACGGGGCCCACGAGGTGCCTGGGCCGTGCTCCTCCTGGGGGCGCTGCAGGTGCTGCTGGGGGCTGCTGTTGGGAGCAACGATACCGCGGTGGGTAAGTGGTTCCCTTGGGGTCGCCAGCTCCAGGCCGGAGAGGAAGCGCGTTTCCAAGTTGGGGGTCCGGTGCGGAAAGTTCTGCCTGTGTATGGGCGACGCGCTTGGGTCGACTAATTAGTGAGAGGGTGGGGGTGGGGGAAACTGAGGCTGGGGCGGGTCTGCGTCCGACCCTGCACCCTCAGTTTCCGCACAGTGGCGCGCGCGGCGGCGGTGGAGGAGGGGGTGCCTGGAACCTGTTGAGCTCCCCGAAGCGCTGGCCGCGGGCGGGGAGCTCACGGTAGCTTTCCCACGCTTTCCTGAAGTTGGGGGGTCTCGTAGTTAGGGGTGAGCCCAGGCTCCGCTCATAAACAACGGCAAGGTGGGTTGAAAGGAGTGTCTGCCGACTCCTGCGGAAACACGTCTGCTGGTTGCTTGGGGAACCTGGCGGGCGTCTCCCCGGCATTTTATCGCCTGATTGTGTAACGGAATGCCCGGGTGTGCAGTCTTCCGCTGGAAGTTAGCTTTGGGGGCGAACCGGGCTGAGTGGAAAGTGGGGTGGGGCGCCTGCTGTTCGGGCGCAGGTGAGGCTCCCCGGCCCCCGCCGGCCAGAAGCCCTCACAGCAGCTGCGCAGCCGGCACCACAGCTGCAGGGCCTTGGGGAGTAAGATCCCAACAGAGTAATGTTGATTTAACTTGTGTAGAGGGCTTTTGTTCCCTCTTCGGGCCTTTGACCCTTTGGGGAGACGCGGCCAGGGTCCCGGGAACTAGCTCTGTCTATTCTGTCTTGTCAACTGTTAGAAAAGCTGAGGCCCCGGATGATGGTCAGTAAATTCAAACGAGTTATTTTAAGGTAGCCCCGATTTTCCTGGCTTCTATCTTCGTGCTGTGTTTTTTAACTTGGCTGAGTTAAAACAGCCAGAGAGAAAGGGGCGCTTTGCATAACCAGCCGGTTCAGGCACGACACCTGCTCCTTGCCAGAATGATCTGGCTGAAGCAAGTAGCGCTTTCTTTGTTTTGTGCTGTTGTTGTTTGACGAATTGTGTGTGCGGAGAACTGGGCTTACTCACCTCATTTTGAGGCCCATGACATGTCTTCGTGCTTGTGCTAGCTCAGTGTTTGTGGGAGAAATCTGCAGTGTTCTCTTAAGTCTGTTGCTTTGTTTGCGAAGTCAGTCTTGTTCTGCTGTTTCTGTAGTGCGTTACCAGTTAGAGAAACTGGGGGCCCTTCTCTTTTGCCCTCTTATTACAGGTTTTTTGGTGCTCTATTTTTAACACTCAGCTTACTCAAAACAATGAGCACATGTGTGATTTCAATTCAGAATCGAAACTCGGTTAACTACCATTAAGTGGCACATGATACCGTGTTGGCTGTCAAGAATGCTTTTATCCCGCAATACTGCTGCTGCCTAGAATGTTGTGAGAAGAGAAAAAAAAAATCATTGTGAAAATTCTGCCCTCACAATATTCTCAGCAGTTTTATAAATAATCTCCTGAGCAAGTTACAGTCAGCCAGCTGGGGAAGAACAGTGATGGGGAGGGGGTTGTGAGCCCTTGGCCTTGGGGGCAGAACACAGGAGGCAGCCTTAAGCAGTCTTGGAGGAAGCAGTTTTCCACAGTGGCACCTGTATGCGGGGGTTCCTGTAGGTTACCAAGGTATAATTTCACAATGAAAACAGGAAGCTTTCACAGTCTTCCAGGCGAGAAATGGTGAATGATAGTGGAGGCGATACCTCTTTACAGAGTGAGGCTGACCGCTTGATCTGGGTGAGGAGGAAAAGGAGAGCCTCTGGTTAGGGGCTTGGATAGTTGATGCTACAACAAGGAGGAAGATGGGCGAGTAGAGGGTTTACGTGGAACAACAATGTGGCCCAAATCTAGACCTGGCCACTTAGCAGTTGGGTGGCCTTCGGAAGGCCTCAGTTCCACTCGTAGCAGGACTGCTCACATCTGAGAATTGCTGGGAGAGTTAGGTGGGCCTGTGAGGTCTGTTCAGGTATAAGCTCTTGTGTGCTAAAACACCAGATGCGGTGAGCCACACAGGAGGTTTTATTCCAGCAGGGAAGATGGAAATGGGGGGTGGGAGCGGAGGCACAGAGAGAAAAGAGGGGTCTCCTGCCATATTGGCAGAAGGGGGCTCCAAGGGAAGGAGGAGAATGCCACGCTTGGGGGAGTGTGCCTTTATGGCGGGGGGCTGATACCATGGGCTGTGAGGGATTGGTGGATAGGGCAGTGGCTAGGCCCCCTGGGGTTGGTGGATGTGGTTGTAGGCTGGTACTTAGGGGGAGAGTATGCAGAGGATTTGTGGATAGGACCAAGGGTAGGGTGCCCTGAGGTTATGGTGGACTGGTGGGAACAGTGTTGTGAGGTTACAGCTAATTGGAGAACAGGAAGTGGCATGCTGAGTCTGAAATGGCAGGGGTCTTATCAGTCTTGGCACTGCTGTACCAGTCACTCCTCACAGAGCTCATGTTAGGGCCTGGGATGGAGCAAGCAACTTCACAGCGTTCCTGACACCTGCTGCTGAGGACTGCGGCGTAGTCTACTGACCTTCATCGCTTTCAAGTTTAATCTCACACTTACAAGAAGAAGAAATTTAAGCAGTAAAAATAGCTCCTTCAAAGCTGTTACTGCTTCCTTTTCTTTGTACTGGGAGGGATTTTATTAGTGGGGGAAGAGTCCGTCTTTGTGAACAGTATGCAATCAATCACATACTTTAATCTTCCATTGTATAAAGATTCAGGATGAACAAACCACTCCAAGAAGTTCCTTACCTAGGCCACAGAATTATCTTTACTCCCCCCCAAATATTAAGGTGTTAAACAGTGAAAGGAATCATTTGGAGAAATCTTAACTAAAATTGGAAGCCCTGTCTGCATGTGTATCTGTTAGGAGATTAGAGATGTTGGTACTGGGCCTATAGAAAAGCTGAGTAGAGGGGTACCCCTCCAGGGCAGGGGTGTTCAGCCTAGAGGTCAGGACCCCGTGTCAGAGTGCGTGGATCCGGCTTCCTGTTCGGGAAGATGCCAGAGGTAGCTGGGTGCCGCTGCTCACAGGAGAGACCTCCATCGTGTCCCTCAGCTCCAGCCTCGGCTGCTGCGGCATCTGGGAGTAAAGTAACTCCTATGGGAGATCTCTGTGCCCCTACCTCTTCTTTCTCTGCCTCTCCAGTAAGTAAGAAAAAGAGAGGAGGAAGAAAGGGGCCCTCTGGAAAGGGGAGGAGTTGTCAGTAGCGGCAAGCCCGCTTCATCTGACACTGTTGCCTCTGTCTTCCTGTGTGTGATGAATTTTGGCAGAGCTGGCACACTCGGTGGCTGGCACATAGTAAGGACTATGTTAATGTTTGTTACATAAGCGAGATGTTTTCTGTCTTAAAAACTCCGATAATGCAGTTCCAGATCTGCTGACAGCTTCAAGGTGTGTTTCATAGCAACAGTGGCAAAAGTAGAACTTCCTGTGGAATAAGCTACCCTCCCTCACACCTCCCCTTCTCGGGCAGAAAGGAACATACTGCCAATGTTCCTATTAAATATTAAATGCTCTTTCATAACAAGATTTTTTTTTTTAATAGGAAATCAAGATCCAGGGCTCCTGGTAGCTCAGCGGAACTCCACTGCTAACTCAACAGGTGAGTTTGAAGAGATTTGAGAAATGGGGTTTCATCCGTCTAGGATTCACCAGGTAATGGCAGCCAGGAAGCCAGGAAGGACATGTGTGCTGGTGCACAGCCATGTGCTCCTTGGGCCCGCTCTGGGGGTGTGCCTTCCTTCGGATGTGTTTTGGTGTGACGTAGGCACACATGAACCCATTTCATGCCCTGAAGGGCTGTCCGGCGAGGCGTTGGTAGGAGGATTGCATTGAGTCTTTTTCAGTCCAGTAGACTTCAGTGAATAAATTCTAAAATCAGTGTATTTGAATTTCACACGGTGAGTTTGGGAGCACACTGAGATGTGAGCCGGCCTGCAGGAATGCAGAAGGAACACATGCTAGCGTGCCGGCTCCGGCAGCCTCGGCCTGCGTGTCTGGCTCTCTGACCTGTTGTACAGGTTGGCCATCAGACTTCATCCTGCTCTGGGCTTTTTTTTTTTTTTATTTTATTAAAAAATTTTTAAGGTTTATTTATTTTTATTGCAAAGGCAGATTTACAGGGAGAAGGAGAGACCGAGAGAGACATCTTCTTGCCATTGGTTCACTCCCCAAGTGGTTGCAACGGCCCAAGGTGAACCAAGCTGACATCAGGAGCCTCCTTGGGTCTCCCACCTGCATGCAGGGTCTCAAGGCCTTGGGCCGTCCTTGACTGCTTTCCCAGGCCACAAGCAGGGAACTGGATGGGAAGTGGAGCTGCCAGGATTAGAACTGGTGCCCATATGGGATCCCGACATGTTCAAGGCGAGAACTTTAGCCACTAAGCTACCACGCCAGGCCCTAGGTTTGCAATATTCTACCTTAACTGTAGAATTTTGAAAGTGGTGACAGGTGTATAGGTAACCAAAGAGTAAGAGGTGATGTTGAATCCTCATCCTCATTACGTTTTCTGGACAGTCTCCCACTGATGTGATGTGGGACATTCCTTATTCCTTTGGCCCAGACAGCTTTGTTGAGGCAGATGTATCAGTGCACGCAGCTGGAGTTCCTGTTCCTGTCTCGTTCGTGGCAAACTTCTGCAACTCCGAGTGCCTGAGGAGCTTGCTTCTGGAGGCGCACGCCATGGATGTGCGTGTCAGTGGTGTACTTTTAGGCCGCCACATCGTTGGCAGAACGGCCCTTCTTCCTGCTGTCCTTGGCAGGGGCTGAGTTGGAAAGACGATCCTGCTTCTGTGTCGATGGCTGGTGAGGCCCCCTCTTTGCCTCGGAGTCAGATTCCTTGTTGGCACTCTGAACTCACTAGCATGCAGAGATGCAGAATATGGTTGATTAACATTAATGGCAGCAGTAAATCCTCCAGGCGTGTTTCTCAGAAGCAGCACTCAGATCCTTTTTTCCACTGCCTTGGTTTCTTTGGTTTTGTTTTTAAAAACATTTGCGGGCTGGTGTCATAGCGTAGTAGGCTGAGCGTCTGTCGTCAGTGCCAATAGCCAACTGGATGCTGGTTCAAATCCTGGCTGCTGCATTTCCAATCCAGCTCCATGGTTATGACCTGGGAAGGCAGTGAAGGATGCCTCAGGTCCTTGGGTTCCTGTACCCACATGGAAGAAGCTCCAGGATTCACTCGCTCAGCTCTGGATGTTACAGCTATTTGGGGAGTCAGCCAGTGAGTGGAAGATTTTTATTTGTTTTTCCTTCTCGCTCTGTAAGTCTGCCTTTCAAATTAAAATAATTTGAAACTATTAAAATAGTTATCAGGTATCTAATGTGTTGTAATGTTCCGGTTGCTAAGGATACCTAGTGGACCAAGTCCTGATTCCTGCAGTTTGTGAGTTTCGTTGTTCTTTTATATAATTCTGTGGTAAAACTCACCTGTTTTTTGTTGTTGTTGCTTGTTTCATTAGCTCTGCACTTCTTAATGGCATTTCGGTGCAGTGTAATCAAGATACACTTTGATGCCAGCTAGGCTTAGTGGTCCTGTAAAAAGTTTTACTAGGAACATTGGCTAAGGGGCCTAGTGAGGTAGCCTAGCGGCTAAAGTCCTCACCTTGAATGCGCTGAGATCCCATATGGGTGCCAGTTCTAATCCCAGCAGCCCTGCTTCCCATCCAGCTTCCTGTCTGGGAAAGCAGCCGAGCACAGCCCAAAGCCTTAGGACCCTGCACCGGTGTGGGAGACCCGAGAGCGTCTCTGGGTTCCTGACTAGGGATCAGCTCAGCTCCAGCTGTTGTGATCACTTGGGGAGTAAATCAGCAGAGAAAAGATCTTCCTCTCTGTCTCTCGTCCTCTCTATATGTATCTGATTTTGCAGTACAAATAAATCTTTAAAAAAAAAAAAGGTTGGCTCAATTACCCCCCCCCCAAATTTTGTAGCAACAGGTATCATTGGATGGTAGTGGCAGGACTTTTAAAAAACACAGCTTAATAGATTGTTAGGTATCATTTCCTAATGGTTTTTATGCAACCTGGTTCTCTGCTGCCTTTTTTTTTTTTTTTAAGATTTATTTTTATTATTTTTTTATTGGAAAGGCGCATATACAGAGAGGAGGAGAGACAGAGAGGAAGATCTTCCGTCCGATGATTCACTCCCCAAGTGAGCACAACGGCTGATGCTATGCCGATCCGAAGCCAGGAGCCTCTTCCGGGTCTCCCACGTGGGTGCAGGGTCCCAAAGCTTTGGGCCGTCCTCGACTGCTTTCCCGGGCCACAGGCAGGGAGCTGGAAGGGAAGCGGGGCTGCCGGGATAGAACTGGCGCCCATATGGGATCCCGGGTGTGCAATGCGAGGACCTTAACCACTGTGCCACCGCGCTGGGCCCCTCTCTGCTGCCTTTTAACTTTGAATAAGCCAAGCAGAAGAAGCACAGATAAGAATAGTAGTACCCATAGCCACCATTGATGGTGTGCCTACAGCTTCTACAAGCACTTCTCTTATGCTTTCCAGTTTAACAGTGGTGAGGTATAGGGGTCATCTTTGTTTTGCACACAGGAAATTTTAAATTCAGTGTGGTTAAGGGTCCAATATGATGGCTCAATTGTCTAATACTCCCCTTACAAGCGCTGGGATCCCATATCCATGCTGGTTCATGTGTTAGCTGCTCCACTTCCTATCCAGCTCCCTGTTTGTGGCCTAGAAAAGCAGTAGAGGATGACCCAGTGCCTTAGTATCCTGCACCCACATGGGGGGCCTGGAGGAAGCTCCTGGCTGGATCAGGTCAGCTCTGGCCTTTGCAGCCATTTGGGGAGTGAGCCAGCAAATGGAAGATCTTTTTCTGTTCTGTTCTGTGGAAGTCTGCCTTTCTGATAAAAATAAGTAAAGCTTGAAAAGAAAAAAAAAAACGAATTCAGAGTGTTTAAGATAAAACATGCTAAGTGCCATGTTCAGGACCTGAAGCTTGTTTGTTGGCTTCTGAAGCTAACACTCTCTGCCCGCACTTTGTAAAGCCGCTCTGTAGCCTGAGCTTTAAGAGAAGCGTCTGGGCCGAGACTGTCCCCAGCTGCTGTAGAGCTGCCGTGTCCCGGGACTGTTCCCCTGCCAGTGCAGCACATCTGGGGCAGTGCGCGTGGGGAGATGGTTTCACATACCCCTTCTAGCACGGGAAAACTGAGGGGAAACAAAACCGTGGTCTGCTTTTTAGAAAGAGCAGATAATATGGCTATTACGAGTGATTTTTCAAGCTCAGTATGCAGGCCATCTCAAAACACATTTTTTTTCTTTATATCTTCTAAGCCTTAGACATTCTGAGGAAACACTGGAGTTTTGTAAGACAGGATGGTAGGTTTTCTTTCTTGTGTCATAAAGGCTGCTAATTGTGGAAGCCTGATTTTGAACATACTGTTGACCAGTGCAGTTTATCTGGCACTGATCTCAGTAGTCTGCTTCTGTTTTGGCCAAGAGTGTGGAGCTGCATAGCCCATAACTGTAGGAACTACCTGGTGGACTTGGAGAACTGCCTGGCTGCCGTTTGTGGCACGTGCTGCTTTACTTCCCAAATGGACGCAGCAGGCACAGGTGGGGACCTGGGCTGGCAGGGACGCCAGTGCCTGAGCTGACACTTGTTGCCTCCTAGGGCCTGCATTAGCTGGAAACTGGAATTGGAAGTAGAGCAGGGAGTTAAACCCAGCCATTCCAGCGTGGGAGCCAGGCATCCCAGTGTCATCTTAATCACTGTGCCAACTTTCTGTCTCTTTTTTTTCTTTTTGTTTTATATTTTTGGTCTCCATCAAGATTCCTAAGAGAGGAATATAGGACTCATTCATTCTAATCCCTAATTTTTTGCCTAATACTGTAGTAGGTATGCAAAATACGTTTATGCTGCTTGAGCTGCATTGTGGAACCTGATATACCTACTTTAAAATAGCTGACTGAACTTACCAACGCTCTGCTATACACGTGGGCACTGGCGTCAAGTTTTCCAGCATCACATTGGTGTCAAAGCGCCTCTCGGTCAGTGGAAGCTAGACATGAGGTTTTTACTTGTTCTGTCCACAAGCTACCAGCATGAGACACAGTCATTTCTTGCTGTGTGGGCAGGGGTTGTAGCTACAGCTGGAGATTAGGCATGGGCCCTGGGGGAGACCAGCAGGACTTGGCAGTGTCCCATGCTGCTCAGCGATAGTGTTCTGTGGGCGAGATGTGTCAAGTGCATTTTCTTTTAAGATTTATTCAGTTATTTATTTGGAAAGCCGAGCAACAGAGGGAGGGAGAAATGGACACACACATACCTTGACTGGTGGTTCACTGCCCAGATACCAGCAGCCAGGGTTGAGCCATGCCAAAGCCAGAATCCTGGAGCTCCATCCATGTTTTCCGCATCGGGGTAGGGACCCAAAGGCTTGGGCCCAGACTCATTAGCAAGAAACTAGACCAGAAGTGGAGGAGCCAGGACTTGAACTAGCGACCAACACGCTGGTGTGTGGGTATTCCAGATCTTGGTTTAGCCCACTGTCTCACAGTGTCCATCTGAAGTGCATTTTCACTGTAGAATCGTTTCAATAGGGAGTTATTGGGATATAATCTAATTGTAAATTGAAGAGCATATGT